TATCTGCAGAGGCATTCTTTCTCTCCCAGAATGGGCAAAATTCAAAGAAAAGACTTCACTCTGTAGAAGCTGTACAAGCTGCCGGTGGTCCCTCAGGTCCACTGCATAATTTCCTGAACATACTAGTCTGTTGCATGAATCAAGTCTGTTCTGCAGGGCTCCATTGTATGTCCAACAAGAGTGAAAAAAAGGAAACTCATCACTCTTGATGAGACAAGAGTGATAATTGATTGAATTGAAAATGATGAAAAACCAAATGATGTGGTAAAGTAGTATAAGGACTGTCCAAACAAAGCATCAATACAATCTTGACTAATCCACAATAAAAGGCAAAGGCATCCAATGCTAGATGACCTCAAAAAGCTTCTCCTCCTGTTGATTGAAGATATGAAGATGAGAGATGATGCAGTGTCTGGGGAGCACATCTGCAGCAAGGCCAGCAAAAAGAGAAATAATCAAGGATTATGCTGAAGAAACTGATCATGATCATGAAGAAAATGAACAGGAAAATAAAAAATAAGAAGAGAAAGTCTTCATCAGAGGTTATTACTTTAAACACAATATGTGATCTTGTGAAATATTAAAATCAGGAAATGATCTTGATTTCTTAATCACAGCTTCCAACGGCTGGTGTCACAAATATAGAAAAAAAGACTGGAAATGGGAATGTCAAGAGGACTAAAGAAGCAGGGAGTGCTGATTATCAGGAGGTTGCAAACTTCCATCACATTTTTAAGGACCTCCTTTGTAAGGACATCATCAAAGAGGTCTTCAAAGAATGGCTGAAGGATGTGTTTGCTCTTGAAGTCAAAATATTTCTTGAGAATAACAGCATAGAGATGAAGGAAATCCTGCTATTGGACAATGCCCTGGGCCACCCTACTTGCTGAGCTTTGAAGTCAGCAAATAGTTGGATAAGAGTGAGTTTGCCTTCTCATTCCTGATGTTCTAACTTTTGAAAGTTTCAATGAAATGTGTAAAAAACATGGTCTGTAATCTTTCCTCCACATTCTTATTTCTTCAGATTGAGTTCATGTCTCCAAACACTACCAATATCCTACGCAGCTCCCACAGCTCATGGATCAGCAGGTGATGGTGATTTCCAACTTCAAGAAATATACAAGGCTTCTTTTTGAAATGCTGTTTGACCAGTGCCAATTGAACAGAGATCAAGTGACTGTGAAATATTTTTGGAAGGAAAACTGCACCATTTTGGAAAACATCCTCTGCATCACAAGAGCATATGGCAGAAGGTCACTCAAAGAACCATAAATTATGCATGGAGGCATTGGATACCAAGAGCCTGCCAATCTGCACCTGATGATGATGGAGAAGGTGAAAAGAAAATTCTTGCTGAAATTGTTGCCACCAGCCAGAAACCTGAACATGGATGCTGATGAAGAAGATCTGACAAAACTCATTGCAGATAATGCTTAAGACCTGAATGTAGAGGATCTGAAGGAAATGGCTGCTATAAAAGAAGATGAAGAACATGGATTACCTAAAACATAGGAGGTAAAAATCAAAACTGCTGACATCAAGATATTTTTGAAGCATTGGGAAATAATTTAGCACAATATTTCTGCATGAAGCACCATCCCAAGAAGCTTGAAGTGAAGCAACTTCTGGATGCTGCAGATGTTCTGTGTGGCAGATATTCCACAGCCTCAATAACAGATGGGAGATGAAGGTTTCTATTTTTACCACGTTTTTATGAACTCACTTTCTTGTCTGTCTGTTTGTCCTGATCAAATTTTGAAACTCAAATTTCACTCTTGTCCAGACTATCTATCAAGCTGAAACTTTCATGATAGCCTAGAAACTGATGACAATGCAATCTTATGTGAAAAAATAAAAAATTAATCTAAAAAACCCCACGTTTTCAAAAAGCAAAAAATAACCTAAAACGTGGTGCGCATGGAGATTGTTGAGAAGAAGTGAAATACAAATGAAATAGATGCACACCACATTTAAGGTTATTTTTTGCTTTTTGAAAACGTGGGGTTTTTTAGATTAATTTTTTAATCTACTATAATTTTTCATCATAAAAACTTCTAAGCTTCTTTACTCCTGCTAAAGAGCTGGGCCATCAGGTGCCCAAGCTAGGCCAGCACATGCCAAAACCCTGCTCAAAGTTCATATTGACAGTGAATCTGACTGATCAATTTAAAGTTTTGTCAGGTTACGTCTGACAAAGGAAATTCAAAATGCAGGAAAATAAGTGAGGCTGACTGTTGTCAATAAAAAAATAGTGGTGTAGAATCTCTCTTAAACAAAGCTATGAAGGCATTCATTTTTCCCCCTTTGCAGCAAGCATGTACTGTATGTGTTAGGAAGGAGAAAGAAAGTCAAGAGCCTCAGATACTTTTACATAAATTTATGCATGTTTTTATTTTTCTCCTTGGCAATGAATTCATGGAAAACATTGTAGCTCAAACTGTTGAAGGATGAAGGCATTTCTTTAGATTTTCCAAGGATAACCCATTTTATAAACGAATCTGTTGTATTGTTTATGAATTTATGGAGTATTAAACAATGGATTATTCCTCAACCTGAACTGCGTATGTATGTGCAGTACAGTATTTCAAACAAAGATGGACTGTATGTCCATAATACTTCAAGTCTCAAAGACTCAAAGAGGATAAATCCGGGTTTTCGACAGAAATTTTACTGGAAAATTCTCAAACTCTTCTTCTAGTTTCAGCAGTCGTCACTTCCGGCGTGATGAAGCTACTTTCTTCTGTGAATGCAAGGATGGAAAACGCGAGGAGAGATTGAAAAAAAAGCGAGTATTTTATCCTCGGTCAGCAACGGGACAGAAAACCTGAATCGCTTTCGTCGTAGCGAGTTACTTATTCATGTCATTTTTATTCACCAACTTTAATTTTACTTTATTTTTGCTTTGCAAGATTTCATTCAAACTTTTTATTCTGGCTCTCCCGTGGCCTCGAAGAAAGACATCGAGGCCTCGTCGCGATTGAGTTTAACCTATAGTCATCATGACGCAGGTTGAAAATTCCTTTCTTGTCCATGCCTGTAACTGGTCCATTGATGAAAAGAAAATGCAAAATATCTGGCTTCCTCTTTGGAGGGCTTTTTTTCTGTTTTACCATTCAGAAGAAGGATTTCATTCATGAATTCAACTAGACCCTTTGACTCTGGGAACGCCGACTGGGTTTGGGATCGTCGAGGCGAAAATAGAACCAAATCAGGGATATATATAAGTTCGCATGGTTCTTTGCACGCAAAAATTATATGCATGCTCGGGTTGAGAAATTCAGAAATGGGGTATGAAACATTATTGTCATGAATACTATTCTAACCTTAAAAATAAATTGAAAATGAAACCATATGCGTCAACTAGAATTGCACTATTTGATAAGGTTCATACTGAATTCCGCAACCGAACAAAAACAGTGCAAATTTTTCTAAATGCATTCAGTATGCAGGTTTATTTTAAATGGTACAACTCTATTCACTTCGACCCATTCGATTAATGTTACAAACATTTAGTTTCAGAGAAAGGAAAAAAAAGCATAGTCCTCATATTTGTAACGTTAAACACTATATTTTCCCATCCATTGCCTGAAGTTCATCATGATCATCCAGGCTGAATAAAGTCACAGGAAATCTGAAAAAAAGTTTGTAAAATATGTCAAAAGATTGTTCTATTGATACTTTGAATTCTAGTGTATATCTATGGAGTAGAATCTTGTTTTACTAAAAAATTGCTTACAACAAATTCGTTTCTCAGTATGCAGTGAGACCCCCACATGCAGACACCTTGACCTGCAGACAATTTGAGATGAGGACACTTATTTTCCAATAAAAATTATTAAAAACGGCTGAACATGAGGAAACTCACTCAACGTAGGGAAATTTTGTGATAATATTGCAAATACATGTCAGGCAAAATTACAAGAAACAGATATTTCAAACTCCAAAATTGACGTAATACAAGTTCTTGGGCATTTCTCTCACCAATTTACACATCCATTTAGCTAATTCTAAAAAAATTCCTCCAGCATAGAGGGACTTCCTTCTCTCTTTTTCACTTGAATATTATTTTTACAGACAACATTTCTATGTACCATACAGAGGTATCAGTATTCAATTCCCCAAATGCCCAGCATATTGTGTTGAAATATATTGATTGGAATCAGTTTAAATTGTCAGACAATTTTTGTTTTCATGGAATTATGGTGAGTATTTTGTACTTAAAGCACCAATTAAAATTATATTATGTAAGTCTAAGTGAAAATGAGACTGACTTAGGGAAAATTCAAATTAGGGACAGCACTCTTGATGCACCAATTTACATCCAAATCTCAGGGTCTCACTGTATACCTATTATTATTTATATTTTTATTATTATTAATATACCTGTCCATTGTTATTTTAAGCATTGTATTTGCAACAAACTTATTGTTGAAAGAAATAAAACTTCAATGTCTGGACAGAGCTATTGTAACGAGATATTTTTGAATTGGTTTTCGATGAGGACGTATCAAGTCTTTAAAGCCAAATTTATAATTTTTTTTTATATACTTGCCGTTTTCTGAACGAGGTTCATTTTGATTCATAGATACGCGAATCATGCATACTAAAATTCTCTATTTTCGATACAAAATTCTTTCGCTAAAATTATATACCTTTAATTCTACTTTTGCTCGTCAATTTTTGTGTTTTGAACCTGATTTCTTCCAGTTGAATCGTTCCAATGAATCCTCCGGGACCAGAAAAAACATTTGCGATGACAATACTTTTTGAGTATACCCTCAAAAGGGAAAAACTAATGTTTGCGATAGGAAGAGTGCATGTTAATGGTTTATCGATGCATTCCTAATAATCCAAACCTGACGAAGAATCTTTGCAGAATGCATTTCATCAAGTCGCATCCATTGAAAGTTTGCTGATCAGTGATTTTGGGAGTTGTATGGTATTGATGAAAAAAATTCGATTATACTCGCGCAGGAAAATACAGTAAAACCCATTTTTTTGGCATCGTTCAATGGCTCATTTAATTTGAAAGGCAATAAACAATAATTCACAGTATAAACCCCATACTCGTACATCCGAGTTTAACTTTCAATCTGCGCCAGAGACAGAAAATTAGTGCAGAAATCCCAGTTCTGATGACTTTCGGGTAAAATCCGTAGACCAAAGGATGATATAAAGCTGTGAGATGGAACAAAAAACTTGCAATGTGTCTCGTCGGCCAGTGCGTGCAATTCCCGTGGTCTCGAATGCCAATTTCAGAGGTCACGTTTCTTGAAATTTCCGAAATCAAAACCGGGGCCCAGGTGAGGCAAAATCCTCCAAGAATCAATGTGATTGTCCTCAGGGCTTTGCTTGGAGATCTGTGAAAATATTGAAAGACTGCAAAAATATATTCAAATTTTATCCGTCAGTGGGTTTTTCAATAATCTTATAATTTAGAGACGCAAGCATTTATTACGGTTTTGCTCTAATATAAAGGTCCCCAAACTTTATTTGGACCAGCACACCAGCGCATTTCCAAAAAGTTTTCTGCAGACCAGGAAAGTTTCCATAAAATGTTTGCAGACTCAAAAATGTTTTGTGTGGAAGATTTCACAGCATGTAATTGACAGGTTTCTGTTTTTTGAAAAAAATTAATTCAATTATTGGAATATATTCAGAAATTAGAAAAGCGGGCTTGAAGCACGGTTACTCAGAATGAAAAATTATTTGATTTATTTCAGAAGGTGATTATTTGTCTGAAGTGTTATTTGAAGAAAGGCAAATTGTTCCTTTTAGTAAGATAATTTCAACTACTATTGTCTCTCCCAACATTTCAGATAAAGATAACAGACTTCAGTGTTATTTTTGTTGAATTTGCCGCACTGAAAAAAAGATTGCTTACGGCCAGGCAAAAAACTTCCACCAACTAAACAAAATCTGCAGACCATGGGTTGAGGAACACTGATCTAGAGAAATGTTGTTATACATGGTGGTTTTCAAATATCCTTGTCATCACTCCGAATACAGTATTAGATTCTCCCAATTTATTGTATTGGAAATAAGGATCCAATCACAAGGAAAATTGATCAACATTACCACATACCTTTGAGTAAGAATCATAACACACATTTTAGCAAAAGATTGGAAAAAAATTGATCCTGACTTGAGATGATCACTTCAGTTTTGAGTTGCATTAATTCACATTCTGAAAACTGCATTTGGTGAAAACTTAAATGCAATCCGACTTGAGAACTTTATTTGAATGGTGATTGCTGTTTTGTAGAATCATTTTGGAGGACTATTAGACAGTTGAGTCGCATTTCAGAATCTTATATTTGGGTTATTGTTTACTCACTTTGTTGAGTAAATGAAAAGATAGATTTGAAAAGTTTTAGTTTCTATCTTTTCAGATAGGAACATAAATCCATTGGTAGGTTATGCAGCATTACACACTATTACCACATAAATACAATAGTATTCACTATTAAGGTGAAAAGCTCATGTAAACAATTTGAGAATAGGCTAATCAGCAGAAGTGCCTAAAAGCAGGTAAAACAACTGAGAAAAAAAAGGACAGGAATTCATGCACAATATTCTGCAGTTATTAAAAGTGTTTAAAAGTGTTGCCACAAGTTGAGGGATGTTTGGTCATGAACCAGGGGAACAAATATGCTGCCAGTTAGGTATAAAATCACCACACACCTGGGGTAAAGATCACAACAGAAGGAGAACAAGAGCAGCACAAAGCAAAAAATTTGCTGGGTTACTGGTTGAGGTGAACAAAATGGTGTTCAGAGTAACTCTGGCTCTTTTGTAAATGGGACCTATGCTTTCATACTTCAACAGTGAAACACCCCTCAGAAAAAATATGATAGGATGGAATAGAAAATACAAGAATTTTCTAGAAAAGTGGGGGATATTATTTTGAAAAGTGTTTGATAAATATCCTGTTTGAGCATAGAACCAGTTTGGGTACTCAATTCTGTAGTAGTTGGGGACATGAATTGCTTCTGGCAAACACACAATAAAAGAGAAGTACTATTCCTAGGAAATGATGGGTTCCAACAAATTTTGATATTTTTGTTCCATGCAAATACAGTAACAGAATAAAACATGTGTGATGAAACTTTCCAATTTAAAAACTTGACATCCAAATTTGTACAAAGCAATATGACTTGCATTGCATTTTTGACTACAATGCCTGGAAAAATAGGTAAGTGGATTAATTTCAGTAGCATTACAGAACTTTGTAAATAATGGCCACCCAGCAAATAATGGGGGTGTTGGGCTGCCAGAAGTGGGGGTAATGCCCTGCCAACATGGATTGCACTGCTTTTTGCAATGCTTTGGATTTCAAGCCAACATCCTGTATATTAGCATTCTGAGCAAGGTATTGCAGCACACATTGTCAGGGCATTGTCCAAAATGTTGGAGATGAGGCAATTGTGAAAGGCATTGCAAATTGCATTTGGATTTGGTGCACACAACATTTTGGGAAGATATGCGCCTGCCCATTTCAGAATATCATTGAACATACACATTGCTGAGGCATTTAGCCAATGTACGCTAAAATGTCCTTGAAAATGCCAGTCTTAATTGAGGCAATGTACCTGCAATGTTCATTTACACATGGCAGGTAGATTAATTGTTGAGTACAAGTGTACATTTTGATTTAAGAAATAAATCAATATCTAAAATGTTCCATAAACTTTGAAGATTATCCTCCATCTTTCAGCATAACTTGTTTCTTCCTGTTCCAGTTTGAAAAATCAGCCCTATGCCCAGTGTTGGAATAACTTTATAGTTCTTAGTCCTTCAATAACACCACTTGAAGTAAGTATCCCAAACTCCTGTCACAATCCTCCAAGATTTGCCAGCACCCTTCTGTAAAAAATCAGGTTATTTTTGGAAAATTTCTTTCTCATGAAGTCATGAGCATGGCAAGAAAAGAAATACAATTTTTGAACCAATGCCCATGTTTGGAAATGTCCAATATTTTTTTTCATTTATGGCAGAAAATGTTTGCTGAAAGAAATCCTTCTTGGGTGGTTTTTTTTCCCTGAAGTCCCACCCATAGGATTTGTTAGGAATAACATTTGAGATCTCTCAAGACATTCAAGATTTTCTCAACCCAGGTTTTTTTTCCACTTCTAACTTGGGTCTCTGCAAATCAGGGGGAATTGTTACAGAGATTTTGAGTCTTACTGAAATGCATCTGCGATTTAAAGAAAAAAAACCCAGCTTTGCTGCAGGATGGAAATGAACCTGCAGCCACTGTCCAGAGGGTCATGCAGTTTCCGTCATGATTCACAGGTGTCGCCCTCACCTGTAAGGAAACACCCAGGCCACGGACAAGGGCTTCTTGAACTGGAAACTGGAAGAGATCCTGCGCACCAGATTAGCCCCAGCCTGTGCAATATCCGCAGACAATGCCGAAGCCCGTCTCGGGATCCCCCGGGCTTTGATCCTCCTTTCAACACAGCTCACTGCTGACCTGGGCACTGCTCCTGGTCCACCCACCGACGACCGGGTCCTCTGCTGTCTGCTATTAGTGATGATGGTCGAACCCAACTTGGGATCCACAGGATGATGCTGCTGGGCATCAACCGAGACCTGCTGGTGTGAGGATTCATTGTTGTCATCAGCAGGGCTGTCTTTGCGACGAACACTGGCCCCTGTGACCCACAAAGCGGGGCCCTGCAGACTTTTTTCCACCACGAGCCTGCTGCTGGTGCTGGTGCTGCTGATGGCCTGATGGGTTTGATGGGACCGACGACGTGGGAGGGTTCGAGTGACGAGGATTTCCGGCTGTGGGTTGCTGCTGCGGGTTCCTGTCAGGGATGTTGTTGGCAGCTGTTGGCCCGGTGGGTGCTGGTCCCCGGGGATCGGGGGGTATGGTCGCTGCGGGTCCAGCATGCAGGCATGCTCCAGGGGTGTGCTGGGGCACTGAAATCATGCAAATATGCAGAGATTCTCCGGATAACGGACGCCTCGCATGATGGTACTGTATATTTCATGCAAAATAATTCGGAGAATTGTTTCGAAACTCGGATAAATTATTATTTTTTAACTCGCACGGAAATGTTGTATCCGGGTTGATCTGCTACGGATAATTGGCTTTAAAAAAAAACATATCCTTCGCTAAAGTTAGGCTCCTGTAGAAAATGAAGCGACGGAATTTATTAAATTGTCTGTTGAGTGCTGAGAACCCTTTTGGCGTCTTCGATTGTTGATTTCTTTGTTTGTTTTATTTACTGCGATTCCTGCTTTATATCATGGTGGACCACGTGACTTTATCGCGGAAATATTTTAGGGATTGAAAAAAATTAAAGCCATTTGCTGCAGATTTACATTTAACAGTAATTGACTCATGAATTATTCTAAATATACTGTATTTGGCACTGGAATAGGTGAACATTATTGACCAATTCTTCAAAATGAAGAGGATATGCATTATTTCAATGACAGAAATCTGAATTACTGTACAAACAATTTCTGCTTTTTTTTGGTAAGATATAGAATGAGAAATAAAATTTAAGATTAGTGCCCCCACTAATCTCAAATTAGTGCCCAAAATTTAGTGCCACCCTTTCATAGTGCCACAAATTTATCTAGTGTAAATCTCCCTTCATTATGCTCCTAAAGAAACCCCCAATTTAGTGCCAACTCACTCAGTGCCACAGGAAATATTTGTCATATTTCAAGAAATGGGCAAAAATTGAAGCATGGTTATGCATTTTTCCAGGGATACAATTTGATTATAAAACTTTTGATGGAGAATCACATCCCCATGCTTACATAACTTGAAAGTATACAGAGCATTAACTCAAAATTGATTATTCCAGGTCCGTGTGTTGAAATATATCCACTCACAATTATAGAATCCCATTTTTTCCTGAAATTCTACACAGCTGAAGTCTGTAATCATTCCTTTTCTAAGTAATATTTGTTCCTATATAATCGTGATTAACTGCTTGTATGAATGAATCTTGATTTAAGAGAATTTTGACAGTTGAGATAATTTTTAGATTACGTCAATAGTTGAGGGGAAATACATCAATTTGAACTGGATCAAAACTTGTTGTCTTGATACTTTCCCATCTAATCATGCGTCAATATAGAAACTATCGCTGAAATTCTTCCACAAAAAAGGGAGGAATGTTAGCGACCTCTACTTCAGATGCTGTCAAACCGTCGCGGCAGGTATCGCGAGAAAACGCGTCTAGATGTCACTCACAGAAATGCTCAAGTGGACAGGACACAAGTTATCCCCCAACGGCAAATGCGGTCGCTTTTTGAGATCAATCATTTGCCTCGCTGTCAACGTGATCCTCTCTCTTTTTTTCGGCTGCAACAACAATGTATTTGGCCTAGTGCTGTATTTCCTCCGCGGTGCAGCCACTGGTGGACTTTCATCAACTCGTTCGTCATCTTCGTCTTTTTTCCCGTAATCCGGGTTGTTGACAGGGATCACAGACAGTGTGTCGTGTCGACGGAGATTCGGAGCTGATCGCACGTGCTTCAAAGTGGACGGTGGTGGAGCTAATGCTGACGATTTGGTTGCTGCTGTTGTTGGTTCTTGGATGATGGGTGGAATTTGTATGGCTCTGAATTCCTTGCGAATTTTGTTGGCGTGGTGCAGTGCCATGCGGTAGAGCAGAGAGTAGAACACTGCTGAGATGAAGAAGGGCACCAGGAGGAATAGAAAGAGCAGCAACAAGCTGCAGGCTGATGATGGTGATGATGATGCATGATGATCATGCTTCCATAAACACCCTGAATTCAGAGCTTGATGCCCAGTTATGCACCTGTGAATACCATTAATTGAGAAGAACAGGATGAACAAGTATTCCTATGAATCAAGGCCAGTTCAAGACAGCAAATGTGAGACAATGCCAACTCAAGCCAAGGACCATTTGAAACCGGCAATATTTGACACATGTACAGTATAAGACAAATACATTTTGGGAAATAGATGTACTATTTGAGACAGAAGCAGTTGCAAAATGACTTTGCTGGGTTTCTCCATCCTATCTTACACTGAAGGTGTGAAAAGGAACAAAAAATGCATTTTTTGTCAAAGTTTTAGCTCAGTGCATTCCCCACTTAAGACAAATAAGTGATCTTCCCCATGGTTCTTGGTTATGTCTTGGTTCCATCTTAGAACAGAAAATTGTGCATTGCAGCAGCAGAGTTGCCTTGGATCCAGTCCCTCTCCACTCCTTAGTCCTTACTGATTTATGACTAACACTTATACAGTATAGGTTCAACAAAAAGAAAAACAATGAAAAATGAGAAATGAAAGTAGAGATGTACAGTATGTTGGGGATGCACCATCCCAAACTGCTCTGCGCCTCATTAATTGAGAATAAAATAAACTGGGTGGAAAAACTGCCCAACAATAAACTCAAGAGAGCACCAGTAAAACTGAGAAAATTTCAGGACTTTATTCAAAGTTTCTTCCACAATATTGTCTTCAACCCTGTTTTTCTAGGCCAATCCCAGGCCTAAAACAATTGGCTGATTTCCAGCCTGATTACTGGTTCAAGGTATCATACTGTGCTGCATTGAATTAATAAAAAACCCCCTTACAATATTTCATACACAATATTTATTGCTCTGAACCTAGCTGTTATTGGGAGCTGTAGTTGTGTGTCCAAAAATGGGAGCTTGTTGTGAGGTTTTGTCATTGTCATTTAGTGTGCCTTGTATTTGAGATAATTTTTTGTTTTGCCTAAAACTGATCTGTCATATTAATTCCTTTACTTGGGACAATGAAAATTATACTTATAATATTATATGGAGTTTCACTTGGGAATTCCAAGCCCTTGTCCCAGGCTGAATCTGGACTTTTCTTGCCCTAATCTTTATCCCCAGTCATTATTTTTATTTTTTGTTATGGTGACTTTTCCCCAAAAATGTATGTGAATATCTTACTTTTGCTATTCCAAATTTTTCCTGGCTCAAATTGGCACTAATTTGAATTGGTCCTGTGTCACATAATCTGTCTTCAATTTTCCAGTCTCAAATTGTCTGTATCCCTATTTACAGTGAGTCCTTGCATAAAAAACACATGCAACACACATTTCGCCCAGGAACATTTTTGGGGTAGAAATGTTTGGAAAAATTCCAACTTGTGACAAAAACATTCTTTATTTAAAGCATTTTCTCACTATGTGGGGAACTTTGGTTCAGAATTCCAAACTTCCCCTGAGTAACAAAAATATCTTGGCAGTTATGTTCTCCTAAGTACTGCTTGCCTTTTCAACTTCTCTTAGTCAACCCTTGAATAAAATAATGATGAATTGATGTCAGAAAACCTTTGCCCAGTAGCTACTGGTAAATGTTCTCTGTTAATTGGATGCTTATAGAAAAAGAAAAAAGAAATGGCAAATATCACCTGACTATTTATTTTACCAAACAAGCGACGAATGAATAAATGTCGGAGCACTTTTTCAATTTTTTCATTCTAAAGAATCAACTTTACAACATTGAGTGAGGGTTCGAAAATGGATTGAATAGATGATAAGGGTTTTTTTTTCCTTAAGTATGCATTTTCTGTTGAAAAATTTTCAAAGGGTACAAATTTTGCGGTCCAAAACACCCCATTAAACCAAATAAATGTACAGGTCCTTTGGCCCTCTATACTGGTGTGGAAATTCGGTTTCTGTAAACTGAAACCCAAATCCCACATGTGTGTGGTTACACTGCAGTACGCTGTGTTACTTTCTGCTATTCAAAAAATTAATGGTGGTGGAAAGAATGTCTCTTCCTAAATTCACCTGGAGAATATTGAGCAGGATTCAGAGAACAGTCCAAAAACTGGAGGCACAGCAGCTGAGAGCCAAACAGAACCCACAGCAACAAGGGTTTTTCTCTTGGTTACATGCTTAGGATAGTCCATGGGATGCGAAATTGCATACCACCTGTGAAAAGCACAAAAGAGGAGGTTTGCATTCAAGTTCAATTTCCAAAATTAGAGAAAAACTGGAATGGGAGAGTGGAAAATGGGAGTCTCCAAGCTCTCCATCTATTTTGTCCATTTCATGTATGACTTTTGGTCAAACCAAACATGAGTGGGAAACAATCTCAACAGTGATATGGAAGAAGGAAAATAATCTTCTGCTTTCCAAAGGGTTAAACTGATTTTGAGTGCCCTTTGACTCCTTTGTAACCTTTGTTAACCTGTAATAGAAAACCTCATTTGGTAAAAGTATGTTTTCAGCTAAACAGTAAAATTGAATTACAACAATTTTGTGCATTAGAAGAATCTTTGTCCTTGATTTCACATTAAGTCCCAATAAGAACCAGTCATGGTCCCATTTTGAATGGGACATGTGAGGCTGTGCCTGCCATCATATTTAGGGTTTTCATTAAGAAATCACATTTTCCACATGAAAGTTTTTTAGACTGGAATTAGAAAGCTTGATGTAATGATTTTTTTAATGAAAAATGCCCTATGGAATCTCTGCTGGGACTTGTAAAAAAGTTTGTTATACTGAAACATTTTTTGCAACAGTATTTGTTGTAACATGATTTTACTGTAGTTAAAAGAAATCCCAAGCTGCAGAAGTAGGGCAGATCAGAACTGAAAACCTTCTGCTAATAATCAATGCTACCATCAGAAGGGCAATGTCTAATTTTTGAAGCATGCCATTTTTATACTGAATTTGTGAACTTTTCCTCAACTTTGAAATAAATTATCTACTGAACAAAGAATTCGTTGTTTTTCTGGCTTCTCTTCCAACTGTTTTTGATATTCAAATTATATATATTCTGGATTAAGATTGATAGGACAGAAAAATTAAAAACTGATAATAAATGAAAACCATCATTTTTGCTGCTCTGCATACAAAAGAGGATGCATGATTATGATACTTTTTGAGCGATTCAGAAATCATTACAATCGTGTGTTACTCATATTATTCCTGTGGCAGAAAGTCGCCATTATATGCTCTTGATGCAATTGGAAGTAAAATATTTTAAATGTTTTCTGGTAAGTCTTATTCATGTACACGTAATTTCAATTCTTGTGCTTTTAGCAATTTTTACATTCGCTGATATGAAGTGAGTTCTATTGCATTTTTCCACGCAATATTTTGAGACGGAAACTATCTGAGAATTATTGTGCTAATTCGCACACGTCTAATTTACTCTCCCCTGAGGATTTTCCAACTACCTCTCCAGGTGCTGTGAAAAGTTTCCTTTCAAAAGTTTCCACTTTTCCATGGCCTCTCACCTGTCAAAAGCGATACAAGTTGATGTGAAAACATTGTGGAATGCCAGCCACATTGCTGCAAAGTGGACCAAGCTGCAAACTTGGGACCAGGCCTGTCCAGACGAATCAACAGATGGGTTTGCGGCTTCGAGTCCCAGGAATCCAGGAATTATGATCAGTGCCATGAGTAAATTTGAGATACATAAACTGGAAATGAACCTGAAAAAGAAAATTATTTTTCATCAGTCAGCATACTTTTCAGGTCCTCCACCATTGAATGAAAATTATCCCACCATTTTTGTGTGTGAATTGAAACTCATATTAGTGAACATTTTGATGCATTTGATTTGAAACATGTTGATCAAGTTTTCAAAGTTTGCTATAGTTTCATGACTTCAGCAGAGAATAAACCAATGTGATGTACTGAGTGTGTTCGATTCCATCATCAGGTGATTGGTGTAATAGGATGTAGTTTAGTGAAGTTATTTTGAGTTCATGGCATCCCTGCAGTTTCTTCCAGATTTACAAAAAGTCTAAGAATTTTTTGTGGAATGACATGTAGAGCAGACAAATTTCTCATCAAGGTGATGTCCATGGATTGAATTACGCAAGATGTTTTGACATTTATTTCAAGGTGTTAGAGTTGTGGAATGATCTCAATTCGGATAGGAAATGTCCATAACCAAAAATGAAGTACAGTAAAAAAAAATCTGGTGTACCTCACAATAAATTGAGGGAATATTGGATATTCTAGAACTGTGTTGTTGAATCTGTGGTCTATGTCATGGGTCCATTGGATTGTAGAAAAAGGAATTGAATTGTGCAGCCATCAGAATGTAAGTTTTGAATAAGTAATCAAACTCTTTTCAGAGAAGTTCATTGTCATTGCCCAGATTGTCATTTGGCTGTTAGTAAAATACTTGGAATGGCAGAGTCAATTGTAAGATTGGTTGGTTACCTCAGAAGAATGAATAAGATAATTTAAGTTAAAAGATCCTTTAACACAAGATTCTCACTTCTCCTCTTAAAGATGAATGAAGGCTTTTATACCCAAGTGCTCAGAATGGGTCAGGAAGAAATCAGGTGATTTCTTCCTGGCTCAGGATTGCCCACTTTTGGGAAAATCAAGGAAGTGATGACCGCTTCTTGGCCTTGGGTGAGGCTCAGTGAGTCATGTCAAAACAGGATTTTGGCAAGGCTCACTGAACTCAAGATGCGACAAGTTTTATCAGCCAATTGCGGCTGAATACTGGAGCATTGCTGCATTTGGTACATGACAGTCTGCAAACCAGCATCTGTCTGAGGAAGGTTTTTGCAGGTCTGCAGGACACTTTCTTCAGCATAACAAATTGTTCAAAAGCAGCAATCAAGTTTGTTATCTTTAATGGAATATTTAGAAAAGATAATGACAATTCAAATTATGTAATGAAAACTGGAAGTTGGCTTTTGCTCCAATAACACTCCAAGCAAATTCCCATGTGCTGAAATATACATATATTTAAAAATGGATGCAATTTTTTGTTTCCTGTTCAATTCTTCATTTGCATCTAATACATTTGTCATGGACTTTTTTGCTACATAAGCAAACAAGAAAAAGATTCAAGTCACAGTGAATGCTCTCCACTGAAGTGCACTGAAGTGAAGTTCACAACATAAACCCCCAGTTCATAGACTACATAGAGCATGCAAGTACACATTCAGCTGAACTCAATCAATCAAACTTCACTTTATTGCAGGGGATTCACTGAAGTTCAAGTCTTTTTCCTGTTTCCTTCTGTAGCTGAGTAGTCAATGAAAATGTATTAGATACTGACAGAGGATTGAAAAGCAAAAAAACAAAAAAGCATTTGCCTCTGATGGCAGCAAGTGGCAGTTTATCATCTTTTATGACTGAACCCTTCTATATTTTTTTTATTCAAAGAAACCTTTCTTCAAGTCCACCTTCCTGATATTTTGAAGACATTCCACTAAAGCAGCTTCATTGGTCCATTAATTAATTTTGGCCAAAAAACCAGAAACTATTCAAAATCCTGCCATTGAAGTCTTTCAATATCAAACAAAATGTTTCCAAGTGTGCAGAAATGTTATGAAACTTTGCCAGTCTATGGGCCCAAAAAGGTTGTGGAACACTGTTTCAGTATACAATCCTCCAAACAAGAAAATCAGCAAAAAGTCGTCATTTCTTCCAATCTTTGCGTTTACTTGATTCTTTCATTCTTATTAATTGGAATTGATATTGCACTTAGCAGATTCACACTTCCCTATTAATTTCACCCCATTCTTTGTATGGACGCATAAAATAAACATTACAGAATGCCGTGATTCCTCTAATCCAAGTTTGAACATGCTACTTTCAGGCAGAATCCGCCATATTAAAAAATGTTAATAAATAAATTTGGATTTTTGAATATACGGTAATACAAAACATCGGCGAACAGCCTGGTGACCATTTATTATATAAGGTCAAGGTAACTCTATTTTTGGCCTGATGTCCGGTGGTAATTAAATAAGCATGATGGGTGTTAAACGGAGAATCAAAGTATTTCTTTTAAAGATCACAAACGCAACAGCGTTTCCCATCTCCCAGATGGTGCTCTGTCACATTAAAAGTTCCGACTCACGCGTCAGCAGAAGCAATATTAGAGAAAAAATGCTGCTTTTATTTCCCTCAGAAACATGGAAAAGGGAAGGAGGAGTTAGCAACACCTGGAAGCACGCACTGGATTTATTTTTTCACGTTAGTTTGAACTCGTAGAACAAGTTAGGAAAGCCATCAATCTTTGCCAGTCCTCGTTCGTGTCAGCAGAAACACGCTTCTCGAGATTTGTCCTCAGATTTTGGCCCCTTCCCAGGCAGCACTGTGACACAGAAGTCCCTTCCCTCATCCCAGGAAATATACGTGGACCTTTCCTCAATGGGAGCAATTGTTGTCAAGAAAATTCTCTGCCTCGAAATTTATCAATCACACGGTATAAATAAACCTAAGAAAAAAAAGGTAGTTCATAAAGTTTGAGAAATTATCGGTTGGACTGTCAGCTGGTAGAAATTCGATGAGATGAGACACAAGAGGAAAAAACAAACCAAAGTACAGTGGGCCCCCATCTTACGTCATCAATCCGTTCCAGGTTGGACGTTGTAACATGGGGCTGTCATAAGTTGAAACCCTATTTCCCATAAGGATACATTATAAAAAAATTAATTAGTTCCAGAAAAAAAATTTTAAAATAAAATTACCTTTATATTTCAAATTTTTGTCAGAAATTGCATTAATAGACGCAAGACATGTTTGAAAGACTGAATAAAACAAAAGTGATAGGGGGTAGGGTAGTGAAATAAGGTAGTAGGAGAATGATTCTCACAATTTTGAGCAGTTTTCACAACTTTTTTTCTCATCTTCTTTACACCTTTCTTTTTTCAATTGGATAGTTATTACTTTTTGAACTTTCTTAGGTGCCATCTTAACAGATGGAGGGCTTGGTTCACACACTCAAAATTTGAAATGCATGGAATAAACATTTAGTTGAGTTTTATAATTGTAAGAATGGATAATTTTCAGTCAAATTATTAAATTCCTTAATTGGATAGTTATTACTTTTTGAACTTTCTTAGGTGCCATCTTAACAGATGGAGGGCTTGGTTCACACACTCAAAATTTGAAATGCATGGAATAAACATTTAGTTGAGTTCTAAAATTGTAAGAATGGATCATTTTCTGTCAAATTATTAAATTCCTCCTAAACAAAATTATTCAGCTATAATGAAATGCACAGGGCAGAACAGAACACACAAAATTCAAAATCCTTCCTAAACACAATTATTCAGCAATAATTGGCACAAAAAAACTCACTTCCTCTCAGGAAAACAGTTGGTACATGCATGGCACAAAAAAACGGTTGGTGGGAGGGAGTTGAAGAACCTCAGAAGCTGTCATATCATGAAACCCCAACATAAGTCGGGGGTTTTTTGAATAAAAAAATTTGTCGTAAGTTGAAACCAACGTAACATGGGCCCGTCGTAAGTTGGGGGCCCACTGTATATAAGATGGTTATGAAAAATTTTTAATTTAAGATTGAGGTTGTACTGCGTCTTACCTGAGATGATACAGAACATATTTGTTTTAGAATAAATAAACAACGGGTTCTCAGATCCCAGAGTTTTTGCCATTTCTACATTAGCCAACCTAAGTATTTTACTGACATAGAACATATCAATGGAACACCTATGATCACTGTTATCTAGCCTGACCTGATACCTAACCTGACCTAATGCCTAACCTGACCTAATGCCTAACCTGACCTAATGCCTAACCTGACCTAATGCCTAACCTGACCTAATGCCTAACCTGACCTATCTTTTTGAACTTTCTTAGGTGCCATCTTAACAGATGGAGGGCTTGGTTCACACACTCAAAATTTGAAATGCATGGAATAAACATTTAGTTGAGTTTTAAAATTGTAAGAATGGATAATTTTCTGTCACATTATTATATTCCTCCTAAACAAAATTATTCAGCTGTAATGAAATGCACAGGGCAGCACAGAACACACAAAATTCAAAATCCTTCCTAAATACAATTATTCAGCAATAATTGGCACAAAAAACTTACTTCCTCTCAGGAAAACTGTTGGTACATGCATGGCACAAAAAAACAGTTGGTGGGAGGGAGTTGAAGAACCTCAGAAGCTGTGGTATCATGAAACCTCAACATAAGTTGGGGGTTTTTTTAATAAAAAAAATCATCGTAAGTTGAAACCGACGTAACATGGGCCTGTCGTAAGTTGGGGGCCCACTGTATATAAGATGGTTATGAAAAAATTTTAATTTCAAGATTGAGGTTGTACTGTGTCTTACCTGAGTTGATACAGAACAGATTTGTTTTAGAATAAATAAACAATGGGTTCTCAGATCCCAGAGTTTTTGCCATTTCTACATTAGCCAACCTAAGTATTTTACTGACATAGAACATATCAATGGAACACCTATGATCACTGTTATCTAGCCTGACCTGATGCCTAACCTGACCTAATGCCTAACCTGACCTAATTCCTAACCTGACCTAATTCCTAACCTGACCTAATGCCTAACCTGACCTAATGCCTAACCTGACCTAATTCATAACCTGACCTAATGCCTAACCTGACCTAATGCCTAACCTGACCTAATTCCTAACCTGACCTGATGCCTAACCTGACCTAATGCCTAACCTGACCTAATGCCTAACCTGACCTAGTACCTAACCATATCTGATACCTAACCAGACCTAACACCCAATTTAACCCATTGAATAAAAGGACCAGATCCCTAACCAAACCTAATGCTTAAAATGACCAGATACCAAACCTAGCTTAATGCCATGTTCACTGAAGAATCTACCAAATGCACCTTTTAAAATAACTCTTGGATGACAGAGAGGTTTTTCCATCCCAGGTGGTAGTTTGAATTTTTCCTGGCAAAGTGTTTCGGTTTGACCAGAGATCAAGGAAATTCCGCTGGGTTAGGAAGGCCTGAACCAGGGAAAATTCAGGTAGAGAAAACCCCTTTTTTTAAATAAATCCCCAATGTCAAACCCATGCTAGGAATGCAGGAAAAAATTCCACCCACGGAAAAAATTTATGATGATTTTCATGCAACATTTTCTTCAAGATTATAAAAGATATTGGAATTTTAACTTACTTATGCTGTGATTTAAAAATTCTTTTTTTTTAATTTCCAGCACTCATGGGCACACAATTTTGCAGAAATAACCTGACTTTGCCACTCATGTTCATGGAAAAAGCACACGAGAATGGGATATTCACTTTTTGAAATTTTGAGGAGTTCAAATGCACCATGCATATCATTTTTGATTGTATTGGAAAATTTTGGACCCATTCTACCACACATTTCAATTGATGAAGTTGGATATCACGTATAAATTGAGGTCCAATTAAGATTTTGATATGTTTAATTTTCAAAATAGTGCAGTCTCAAATTTGAGGAAAAATTATATGTTTGTGAAAATTTTCACATTTATTGTGGTATCCTTTTTTTGATAAAAAAAACCCAAGTTAAAATATAATATGCCAGCGAAAGTTGTACACAAAATACCCCCTCAATGTCAGTGTTTTCTTTTTAAATTTTGAAACATTCCATCATTTTTCTGATTGAACACATTCATGTCACATTATAGTATTTGTAGCTCATCAAAAAGCCTCCGATTTAAACGGATTCGATGGACGGAAACAGGATACTTCAAGTCGAAAATTCCAGCTGATGCTTTCCTTCACTTCCAGATCGAAATTCAGTGAACCTGTCAAGAATAAATGCCTGTTCCGCACTTTTGAAAAATAACCGGCAGCATCCGTAAAGAAATAAAATGATAAGATTTCGAGTCTCTCTTTTATTTCCCTCAGTGTTGGCGGAAGTGATTGGAGCCATGCCAGGGTCTGAGAAAAGCGGCGGAAACACTTGCGACCCAGGACTCACTTTTAGTATAAGGGCACGGGTGAAAAAGGTCCTCGAAAACGTCTCATTTCCTGCTATTTACTTTTCAGGCAAAAGGTTGAAATATGAACCCATCAGTGACGTTGAAAGCAGCAGCAGCAGAGACGACGAGGGGGATTTTCTCTGGACTAGAACAATATTCGACACTCCTCGAAATCGTCCGTCCATTTTTTGTTTTTCCGTGGTTATTATTGTTATTGCTGCCTCATCGTCTAAAAATAACTTGGACGAGTTTAAACTTTTCTGAAAGCTACTAAGCGACGAAACAAAATGCATATTTGCAGCTGGATTCTTCTTGCGAAAACGTGCTTTTGACTTCGAGAAGAAGAAGAAGCGCATTCACTTCTTTGCATTTTCTTGGTTAATTTTTCGCGAGAGACAAATGACTTTTGTGTTGTGAGTTTGCAGGTGGAGTTTCTCTGCCACCGTCCTCAGGGTCAGTGCAAAAAAAAAATAATTTAAACTATTCACACAGGTAATGGAGAGAATTGTGTTGCAAAGGGATTTTACATTAGACAAAAAGCATGAGAGGACAAAAAAGAATAAAAAGAAAATTCCTGCGCATAATGAATCCACGTGGAAACATTTTTTGGCATCCTGTAAAACATCAGGTGATGATACTGAAATTTTTAATTTATTTTGAGAACTAATGGGACTCGCACATGATATGAATTCGTACTATTTCTCCATGAACAAATACATAAAATCGCTGGATTGCAATTGAATTTGTTTTTGGATTCAATGCATATTGAGAAGTAGATGGGAAATATTTGTGAAGATTTGAATGACTTTTGGGATGAAATGAGCGTAAAAAGGAGAATAATTTGTCTCAAACGAAAATTATACAACAAATAGGAATTTTGCATTTTTTAAAAGGAGCCCAGGAAAAAATTGGAAGCTAGGTTAATCTCTTGAGTTATGTTATTCAAGTCTCATTTTGATTGGAATGGACTGAGTTTGAATGTTTCAATTTCATTGAAAGTTTACTCTTTTAATAGATTTGTTCCACGTCATTATATAGGTTAAATAATTCTTATCCAGATTTTAAGAGTTGCAAAAGATTTGAGAATCTTAAAATGTGATGATAAGTCTCTTTTCAAAATCTTAGAGGACCAAGATAAACGGTTACCTTTAAGCAATTACTGCGCAAAAATTTTCTTCAAATTGTTTGAGCAAAAAAAAGCTGATCTGGGAGCAGGCTGAAAATCTTGTGCATTAATTTTGGTTTCTCAATTGCATTATGATGTAATTTTTATTACTGATGTTTTCTTTGTGTAATCTAGTAAGGGGAACAAAGTTTATGCATTTACATCAGGTGCTCATTTGTACATTTTGTGATGTATTTTTCTTTTCTTTATAATACCCATGAACAGCTGATTTGTCTGCTTTCATTCTGATGTGATGGAATGTATTTAGATGTGTGAAATTGATATGCTCCCTTGATTATTTATTCCTGACTGCAGGCCATCTGATTGCCCTGTGGAAGTCATTTATCTTAACTTTCCTCTGCACTGCAATACACTCTTTTTTTGGGAACCAGCATTTGTCCCCACCAATTTACTTTTTTGAGTTTTTGGTTAAGGTAAACAATGAATCATATTCACAATACTACCCTTAAACAGTTTATTTCTCTGCTTTCATTCTGATGTGATGGAATGTGTTTGGATATGAATGTGGTTGAGGAGGGGGAGTTGGTTTGGATGTGGGAACATTGTTTGAACGCTGAAATTCAGAGAAAAAAAAAGCTTGTGATCATACATGTCAGATGTCCAGTTGTATTTTGTGGATTGTATTTTCTTTTATTTTTGTTATCAATTCGTGCTCTGTTTCCTGCTCAGAAGTGATTAAATGTCTTTGAGTGGATTTGGGCTGGGTGCTGGGGATGGGGTTTGGGTGTGGAAATCTAGATTGAACCTTCTGAATGCTGAAAAGCGGCAAATGAAGTGTTCTGTTCATTCATTCATTCAATCAATCAATCAATAAAAGTTTCATCTTGGCCTCTTATTCTCATGTGTACAAAAGTGTCCCCTTAGAGAATCATTTTTCTGAATAAAAAATGCAATGGTATAAAAACACAAAATTTTCATGAAATTTGATGAAAGGAAATGATGAGAAAACTTGCCCATTAGTAGGAGAATAAAACACCCTCCTGTTGAGGACGACAGTGAGCACCAGTGCATTGCAAATCCCAGCTCCCAGCACCAAAACACAGTTCACCAACACCGCCAAAATCGTCGTGCCGAACCAAGCAGGTTCATGATGTGAAAAATGTGATGTCTCATTCCACGCCGATTCCATTATTCCGCCAAGTAAAAAATAAATTAACTAATAAAAACGGCGGTATTGAATTCCACACACACACACACACTCTGGCACACACAATGACAATGCCAGAGTGGATTGCAAATATCCCAGCAAAACAGGAGCAGCAGAGAGGGATCCAACCAGATACCCCCTGCGATTCCCACCCCCGGAAAAAAACTGCACTTGGAGCCTGGGTTTTACCGGGAATATATATAAAGAGGACTCGTACGTCGGGGATGTTTTTTCCCGGGGTTTTCCTCTTATACTACTTGGCTATACTTAGAGCCTTAGCTCAGGTGCACATGTGTGTGTGTGTGTGTGTGAATAACCTGTTTGAAAATGTATAAGAGATGCACAGAGAGAGAGGGGAGAAATGGAAAAGAAGCCGCTCTGACTTGTTACGACCTGTGTGTCCGCGTCCGCCGACACGTTCCGGCTTGGGTAAACATTCTGGCGACTCTGAGGGGTCTCTCCATCACAGACCCCTTCCTGCTGCTGATATGGGGTGGTGATGGGGGGAAGTGGATTTGATGTGGAACCCATTATCCCCATGCCTTCATCCATATATAGATGCCCGGGATTTCCATATGGTCCAGATTTCTTACATCAAGACATGCTTATTCGAAGGTACAGGTGAACCTCTCTAAGTTTAATTTCTAGGGACCAAGGAAAAAAATTTGCATTAGGGAGGTTTTTGAGTTTTTGAGGAAAGGAAACAAATATTTTTGCTGCAAGGAGAATGGGAATGGAGATGAGGACATTCTGGGCCTAAACTTATTGCTTCCTAATGAGTTTACAGCTTGCTGAATAACTTGAGGGCAGGGGTTCCTTTGTTCAATTAGTCCTTCACTTGATTTCAAAATGCATGAAATAATTTGTTTTGTTGATTTTTTCAATCATATTTCAGGGAAATGATGACCAAAAGGCCTCAGAAAATTTGAGCTAGGGAGCTATTTGACTTAGGGAGGTTTGACTTAGCAAGGTTCACCTGGATATACACTTATACAGTGAGACCCACACATGTGGACAATTTGACATGGGAGCACCTGTTTTTCAAAGAAAAAGATGCATGAAAAAAGGCTGGACATGCAGACACTGACTCAAAATCTGGACATTGTATGCTAAAATTGTGAATATGTTTCAGGCCCGCAATTGCAAGAAAAACATATTTTCAACCCTAAAATAAATGTAACAAAAGTTCTTTGGCATTTTTATCATCAATTTACCATCCATTTTGCTAATTTAAAAAATTAACTCCAGCATACAGTGACTTCCTTCTCTCTTTTTGACTTGCATGTTAGTTTTACCAAGAATGCCAACATTTCAATCTACTGTACAGAGGTATCCATATTCAATGCTCCAAATGTCCTTATTGTGTTGAAAGATATTGATTGAATCAGTTTGAATTCGGAAAAACTTTTTTTCTAGCAAATACTATCAGCCATTTTCCCATAAAACACCAATTAAAATGTATATAATGTAAGTATAACTGAAAATGAGACTCGTTTGACTTAGGGAATCTCTTGATGTACCAATCATGTCAGCATCTTGGGATCTCACTGTACCTGATATAGCATAGTGCTGATGGTGTTGAATTTTTAAAAAATGCAGTTACACCTACAGCTGGAATTGTCACCATTCCCAAATCACACAGCAAGGGCCTACAAAATTATACTGTAATGAATGGAAATCCAATTTTGAACAATGAATCAGGCATGCATGAGATATGTCATCACCTTGGGTTCAGGAATTTCAGGTTCCAAGACCTGAGATCTGGGTTTAACTTTCCTCCACATATCCATTCATTCCCCTGGATGTTCCACTTCTTTCAAATCATTTTTAATACAATCAGAGATTAGAGAAGGAAGTTGTATGAGAAAAAAGAAAATGTCACAGTGCCTGAGTGAAATAAAACCAAAAACAAAATTTGAACTGATTAAAGCACCATATTTTGTCCAGTACCATGTGTACCTATTCTCCAGATATTTAGGCAGAAAAGTAGAGTGTGCAGGTACTCAGAGATTCATTTTTTAAGAAAAATCCTCATAATCAGTGCCCCTCAAAGGCATATAAGGACAATGGTGTCTTGCCTAGAAAATGTGGTCTGTTCCAGGATTGAATTTGTTATTGGAAGAATGTTCATAAGGTGGGTCATATTTAACCTGTGAGGATTACAAGGATTTTTTTCATATTTTTCATGGAATTCTGATGATTATTCCTTGCATGAAACCCCAATTACAAATCATATATGGTAAGTCTAAGGGAAAATAAGACTTGACTTATGGACATTTAGACTGTTTGGGACACTCTTGAGTGTTGATGCACAAATTCTGCCTGCATCTCTGGGTCTCATTGTACTGTATTTTTTGACGCATTAAAAGGGTGATTTGCATGCTAGTTTCAACATAAATCCTCATTGGTCTATTAATTACAGTCAAACCCTGTTAAACCACCCATGTTTGTTCAGCAGAATTTTGAGGGTTTAATGGGGTTGGTGGTTCATAGAGGGAAGGATGAACCAGATTTAAAAAAAAAGGTTCTACCCCTGCTGCATTCTATCATTCTATGCAAAAAAAATGGGAATGTATTTAAGATATCCCCAAATAGAAAAATGAGACATGTTGAAATATTGAGGTGCAGATAGAAGAACACATTTTTGCTTGGAGAGGAGATTTCTGCATGAGGGATACTTGTTTGCTCTATATTTCCACAGAACAGTTACCCAAAATTTCAAGAGGCTGATAATAAAACTGTACCCCAGAAATTTCTCAATGAAAGAAATGGAAGAGAAATCTGGGAGAGGGAAATGTGGGGATTTCAATAAATAAAATGTGAGAAAGGGATGGTTGGGATGAGAAAAATATTGGTGAAAAGAAAGTCTGGGAAAAAGGAAGAAACTGGCGGTTATAGGGGGAGTAAAACAATGGGGCAATCCAGTTTGGGGGGATAAAAATGTTGGCAGATGGTGGTTTGAAGAGATTATGCCATCCCTTCAATAAGCTTAGGCAGATTTGTTAGGGTTTAGGGATGACATTTTGGTGGCAACCAAGGGTGGTGGTTTATTGGGGGGCAGTCTAATGGGGTTGACTGTACAATAATGAATTTATTATTTGATTGATCCACAGATATGCACTGTATATACTTTGTACCCATGTACTGTACATGGATCAAGAAGTGTCTGTAAGACCCCGCATTGTGCTAAACTGCTAAAACGTCACACCTTCAGCAGATATTCGTGACGTTCGCCGGATTTTCATCTCATTTTTCCTAGATGTCGTTACTTCACTCATGATGTCTTCAGATCAAGCAATTCCCTGTAATTTTTAATCCTACACAATAGTACATATGCCCATATTTTAATCCATTTTTAAACAATCTTGTAAATCTTAAAGAACCAGAAAATTCGAAAATGCCGTTTCAGAAAAATTCAAGCTGTCACACTCACTTTTAAAGCCTCATTTAACTTGAAATGCCTAATTCTAGCACACGTATTTTTTAAACAATCTTGTAAATCTTAAAGAACCAGAAAATTCGAAAATGCCGTTTCAGAAAAATTCAAGCTGTCACACTCACTTTTAAAGCCTCATTTAACTTGAAATGCCTAATTCTAGCACACGTAAAGTACTTTGAAAAATTTTCAAAAGCTCCTTTATACATGACTACATGAGACATGAGTACATTACTCACAAAAGCAAATTTACATAAATAAGAAATATGCAGTTATTATTTGTGTGAAATACGTATCGCTTCTTCGACTTTGTCTTGCCATTTTCTTCGCTGGTGGGTGTCATACGTTAAAAATTTTGGAAACGTTAAATTATAAACGTTAGAATGATTTGGCCGACATCATTATATAACCTCAACTCAGGCTTGTGCACAAGACTCTGAAATTGAACACAGTTCAAATTGTGTCAACCGATTCACAATATGTGCATAAAATCAGAGTGATTTTCTGCACATCTGCAAATTATTGCCCGCGGCCCATACCTGGTCAATTTCAAAAGTACATGCCCCCGTGAAATAAAGCAATGATTCTTCGTCATTCAATGCATTTAATGCAACAACAAACACATGAAAGAAAAGAAAATGCAAATTGAAATACATGAACTGATATCATTAAAAAAAATTTGAGACGCAGCAAAAGGAAGAATGACAATTATTTTTTTATGAAAAGGCCTGTAGCGCCCTTAGTTAAAAACTTCATCCTGCTTGGGTGTTGTCATAGTGTTTTAAGGTCGTAAAGTTCATACAGGTTATTAAAACCGTGGTAGTTTTGGCGCTTAAATTCTCTTACACAAAAAAAGAAAATAAATCGGTCGTCAATCGCGGCTGCATAAAACGACCATCACAGCACCAACGCAAATTTAGATAACTGGTGCAACATGGTGAACTGTTCAGTGCTTGGGATAAGGTCATGATTCAACCCATATACAACAGCGTTTACATTGACAATGGAAAAGATAATCTACACCGTAATTTATGATACGACAGATACCGTATAGAAATAGTACGTTTATAACTTCTTCAGGACCTACATTAGTTGAAAAGTGTTTGTACGAACTTTTTGAAATGTACAGCATTATGGAACATTATTTTTCCCTAAACTATGAAATTTGAACTCAGAAATGCACTACTCTGATATCCTCAAATTCTGTATTTTTTAGAAAGACAGTTGGCATTATAATACCGTATTTACTCAAGTACCACACGCCCTTGAGTAAGGCAAGCACAAGGGTTTATCAGTTGGAAATTTGGCTAAAATCTTATACCTGAGTAAGACACACACCCCAATTTTTAGTAAATCTAAAACCACAAAATTAAAAAAAAAAATTCAAAAATTTTGACTTTAGACATGAATTGAACAAAAATTTGATCAATTTTCAACGTTTTCAGTACAATATGTTTTCTTGTTACATTAGTTTGAAACTTCTCCATTATAATTAAGTATAATGCACACATAACTTCCTAAAACTTCTTGAAAAATTTGTACCCAATTATGATGCGCGCCACTTTTTTTCTTCTGAGGAAAAAGGTGCGCGTGGTACTCAAGTAAATATGGTATTCTAAATAATTGTGTTTATGTGTACATGGTGTTACCCTGCAATTTGACCCTAAGTTTTTGCTGGGCAAGGGTTGAATTTCAAAGTGGTCAAATTGCAAGACACTGT